TTCTTTCTTTCTTTCTTTCTTTCTTTTTTCTTTCTGTGACATATGAGTAGAAGGGATTTTCGCAATTTTTTTATTCCCCAACACTTCTATGTAAGCCGTCTACCATGTTTCCCTGAAAATAAGATCTAACTGGAAAATAAGCCTTAGCATGATTTTTCAGGAGGCTCATAATATAAGCCCTATCCAAAAAGTAAGCCCCAGTTAAGATCATCAGCCAGATGGATTCATTTAGTACCTTATTTCCCTGAAAATAAGACCTATCTGAACAATAAGCCCTAATGTGTCTTTTGGAGCAAAAATAAATATAATAAGACCCAGTCTTATTTTCAGGGAAATACGATAGTGTGCACTGTGATTATGTATAAATCTAGGCTCACTGGCTTTTATTTTAGGAAGGTTACATAATGGGAAAAAAAAGTAGAGGCTAACGAACTGGTTTGAAAAACAAAGAACTAATGTAAAAGAAGATGCAAAAATCCATCAAGGCATTTTGGCTGGTGGGATTCAGGAGAAGAGCCTTTTCTATGTGGCTCCTATCAGAGGTGGTATTCAGCAGGTTCTGATCAGTTCCGGAGAACCAGTAGCGGAAATTTTGAGTAGTTCGGAGAACTAGTAAATACCACCTCTGACTGGCCCCGCCCCCATCTATTTTCTGCCTCCCGAGTCCCAGCTGATTGGCTGGGTCTTCTTTTGTTGTCCTGCACAGGAGAACGGAGCTGGAAAGCAGGTTAGTGGGGTGGGATGGGGGAAACAGGGATTTTGCAGTAATCTTCTCTCAGGAGTGGGGTGGGAATGGAGATTTTACAGTATCCTTCCCCTGCCACGCCCACCAAGCCATGCCCACAGAACCAGTAGCAAAAAAAGAATGGAATCCCACCACTGGCTCCTATCCTTTAGATTAGAACATCATAGCTCCCCTAGAGGCGAGATCCATTCCAGGTCTGAAGACTTGGTTCTGCCAGTTGTCCTGGGGCCCCAACAGGGATGCATCACTCTGGAGATGGCTGCTGGAATAAGAGAAGACATCCCCCACCTCTCCCTGTGTGCATCTTGCTCCCTTCTTCCCCAATGTTTAATTATTACTCTTATTTATTGTGTAATGTTTTACTGGCTTTCAATGTTTTAATGTTTGTAAGTCACCCAGAGTTGCCTTTACAGTAGGTGAGATGGGCAGCTTACAAGTCAAACAAACAAACAAACACACATCTAAATAAAGAAATATTTGTTTGTATTTTGTGATATTATTGTCACCAATCTTGTATTAATAATTATTTTTCCTAGACAAATGAGAATCCAGGCTTATACTTAGAAAGAATATACTCTTTTTTTTCAGAATTTTCTTTGGTATGTGTACAATCACATTAACGTGTATGCCCTTTGTGAGCAAGAACAAACCCAGTTACACAAAGCTACCAAATCTCTTCCCATGTCTAGTTGTGTATTTTATTAAGGAAGCAACAACAGGGCAGTTGAAAAAATAATACTGGCAATATTCTCAGCAAGACGTGAAAATTTGTTACTGATATACTCAAGGTCAAACTGTGAGTGATTTGGATAGTTGCAAAGACAGGAAGAGAATTTCCTCCTCCTGTTGTTTAGCTTTTACAGCAAAGTGCTTGGTGCCTTTAGTTTATCCAGGGGTCTATTTCGCTATTTATAACAAGAGTTGAAAAGAACAGAATACGGGAGAGCAACATTTCGGTGGAAACGACAGCTGCTTTCAATCTTGCCTGACATATTGAGTTAAAAAAGTGATTGTGTGCAGGAAAAAGTGTGCAAGGTATAAAAGGAGAAAGTGGATGGGGCATGATATATGTTTAAAAGGACATGATATTTTCAAGAGGACAGAAAGAAGGGCATGAAATTAAACATCTTAGGAGACAAGGCTGCATGTACTTGCTTATATTTTGGACTCCATTACTGCCTAGTATAATTTTTTCTAAATTGAAGATATTTTTTCAAACAAATTACATACATATACCCATACCTATACGTATACATCCTCTTCAGTTCTCATTATTTATCAGTGGTGGTTTTCTTAACTGTCATTCTTTGTGTTCCTAAGAAACATCTTGGGAATATATAAGTGAAAAAAATTTAAGAGAGTAGCTTGATTCCATCACACACCAACAAAAGACAAGAGTTATATATTTTTTGGAGTGGTATACATTTATTTCTTCATTTATCTAAGATGATCATGTAGATCTGAGCTCTCAGAAGTCACCAGAAGTAACAGTAACTGCTCAAAATATTTCCTTATTTAGTATAAAATTATGGCCCAATTCCTGCTTATTTAAACACCCAGGGTGTGTGTGTGTGTGAACAATAGATTGATCCATCAAAACTCAATTCAAAACCCAAAAGCCGTCAAATCGTATCAAGTGTATTCCACATAGAAAGCACACCACTCTTTCAATGGAATACTACCTTGGTTTGCTGATTGAGAAGCCTTTTGACATAATACATTAAAACAAATTGCAAAAAAATGAATTATTATTTGTGTTGGAAATGTGGCTTGATTGCCCTTAGTTCTTTATAATGAGGTGTAGATTTATTATATATAAATCCGAGGATTATCTTACAGCATAATGCAGTACATTTTCTCAAAAGTAAATCATGCTGGGCTTAGTGCTTACACTGTAGGATTGCATGGATTAAACCTATGGTTCCCATAAGTGGTTGCTAATGACAGAATGCCAATTATGTGAATTAGGGACAACTGAGAACTTGTTTCAGTATGTTCTTATTGCTCATGTTTACCTCAGAGCTCTAGGAAAATATTGCATGAAACATAAAACATATATCTGTTGAAAGGTGTCAACAGAAAGGTGTCTTTCGAGGATTCGATTTTCCCGCTGGGAGAGCTCCGGCACAATGATACGGACAACTGCTTGAAAGCTGGATCTTTTTATTTTTCAGGAAGGCAGAGAACAGCGAGAAGTCTACGTTCCTGGGCTAGCTAGCTTCTTATGGTAAGTCCCTGGTTTTTTATACCCTTTTCTCTCTTTGTAAGTTGATTTTGTGTGAGTGTTTGTATTTGTGCCTAATGTTTCAAATCCTGTTTAAGTTTGTCTTTATTTCTGCCGGAGGGCAAACTCCGCGGGGTGGCCAGATTGTATTATTGGTTTTCTGTAATCTCTTTTAGCTTTAAGATAGTTTTTCATATTTGTTCTTGTGGCAATCTCCTGTCTGTCCCTTTTGTAATTTATATTTTGTGTCTTTTATCTGTTTGTTTTGCTTATTGGTATGTCCTGTGTTTGTAAGGGTTTTCTAAATTATCTTTTGTTTCCTTTTCCTATTTGTCTAGTTTTCTTAATTACTTAGGCTTTTGTCTATAGGGATTATTTAATACTTTTTATTTGATTCCTTTTCCTATGTAAGTTTATTTTCTGGCTGACCTGATGTTCCCCTTGGGCTTTTCCTGTTTTTTGTGACACTACTGCCTTCGTGAAATTCCCTTTCCACATATCAAACATGAAAACATATTTCCCATTGCCACCACATACGTGAATAGGCCCATGACTATCTGGACTGATTGTGAAATTGGGCCAAACCTGCCTTCTTGTCTACATTAGAGATGTGCATTCAACTTTTTTTTTTTTTTTTGCTTCATTTCTGAATGAAAAGGAAAAAAGATGTAACACTGACTAAAAGGTGCAGAACAAAATTGTTCATTGAAACACTAAAAGATAGTCCATTTTTTGCAGATATTAACTGCAACCTATTGAAAATGTATTTATCACAGCTGCTATCTGAAGCAGCTGTAGCATTAACACTCTTTGTGGAACTGTCTTAACTTATTTGGACTCATATTTATAACCAAGCGATAAAGTCCTTTAAATGTGAACTTGGTGTATTGTTTTATAAAATGCTACTTCTGCAGCATAACAAAAGCCAGGCAAAGAGCTGGATTTTCAGATTTGTGCTGGAACTCGGGAAGATGAAGAAGAAGAAGCACCAAAGGATGAACGCAATCTTGAAGGTCTTGCTCCTTAAAAAAAAAAAAAGTATTAATGTTAGGGATACATGGATGGATGGATTGATAAAGAAAAAAATGCATTTAACCTTCATAGGTTAGTGCTGAAAGTCCTCCCCTCCGCCTTTTAACTATTTGTTAACAGTATTTTAATCATTCTTGCTCCTTTTTTAAATTTGTAACTTTTAGATGATGTTTTTATGGTTCAATAGGTTATTATACATAGCCCAGAATTCCTCTGTGAGAGAGATGGATGGGTTCCAAAATGTAATCAACAAACAAACAAATAAAGAAGTTAGACAATTAAAATATAGACACATACCAGGAAAGTTGCTGCACCAGAAAGCTAATCTGTATCACTTTCTTTAATTTTTTTTATCAAAATTTATCCTTTCTAGGAAATTAAACTGGCTCAGTTTTGCAGAAAGTTTGCAAAATCTAATATTGGCAATTAACAGGAAAAAGTGAAAAAAAATAATGACAAGCTTTTGGTCCTATAGTGTAGAAGCATATGATTAAAGCTATTCGTTCTCTTTTACTCCCACTTTTCAAAGCTAGTTTAATCTCACAAGGGATTCATAAAATTAAACTTTATTGGAATATGTGGGGTGTGTGTGTGTGTGTGTGTGTGAGTGAGTGAATAAAATGCAATTTACAATTCTTGAAGCATCCAATAACTGAAATTAATTGAATTGAACAAAGAAAATATAAGTTTTTCCCCAGATTACAAGTTGTAACCGACCTGTTCCAAATCATCTACACCTCGTTTTTGCATAGCACAAAGACTTTCCCAAGGAAATATTATGATCTCAAGAAGAAAAAGATATCCTAATGCATATTTATTTTTCTTGCAAGCTTTCATTTGCTACATTTGCACAGAGAAGAGAGATAAGAGACAAACTGCAGTTCTTGGCTGAAACTTCTAGATCTGGGTTCCAAAAAGCCAAATGACCATTACATGGAAGAGAGATACGGGAAACTTTATTGTCATGTGTTGATCTCCTGCATTTTTGCAGCCCAGATATGGTAACCCTATTCTCAATAGTTACTGCAAGGAATGCTTATCAAGTGATACTAAATCAAAATGTAGGAAGGTTGTTTGGGATTAGTACAGTGAGTGGACCAAGCCATTGTGTCCGATTAAACAAATCAAGATTAAATAAACTTGGCAATCCACTATTATTCATATCATCTGAGCGGGAAACATCGCACACTACTGTAACATTTAAAATGTGCATGAGGATATTTTCTCAATTTAAGTCCAATTAAAAATATGCAAATGTTTGATTTTTTAAAATCTCATCTGATAAGACATTAATAGAAACCGTTCTTAGGAAACCAAAGATTGAAAACTTATATGGAAACAGAACTTATGATTCCCACTGTTTGAATCCCAAGATATACTGCTGGGGTGGGGGGGAGGGAGAAGAAGAGACTACAAATATTTAAGCTGAATTCAGGGGAAAAATAACACTAAACATTTCTTGAAGTTCTGAAAAGATGTCAGGATAGAATTCACTGGATTATTGGAATGTTTGCATTTTACTGGACATTTTCTTAAGGTTGGTTTTCTCTCTGCCCAACTGTGTTTCCAACAATTAGTTGAAGGAAGACATTTGGAGACCTTGAAAAAATTGCATGTTCTTGACCTCAAGATGGATTTTTGCAACTTAGAATCTGGCCAACCCATTGTGGTGATAAAAGGTACCCCCCCCCCTCTACACATGTAAACTACATTCACCACCAAACCTATGAGATCTCCCACCCCCTTATGTATGGACTGGTTAAATTGCCATTGTAAGAAAACATTCATAGAACTCTGAATTGATCCTGAGTGGTGACAGGGAGAAGAGTCAGAAACCTTTGGCCCAATAATCAAATTGTTTCTGTTCACTGACTGTATCTCAAAGATAGCATGGTTAGCATGCTCCTAGTGCTAATTTTAAATGTATTGTAGTTGATAAGTGCTATACAAAAATAATGTTCAGAGAAACAAGACTGGTCTTTAGAAGCCAGTATGACAAGAAAAGGCAAAATGGGAGGGATAAAAATGAGAAAGCAAAGATAGTCACACTTTCCTTAAATAATTAAGAATTGTTAAATAACAATTGGGGAGGGGGGAGCAAACGAAGAAAGAAACCAGATAAATATAATTTGTAGGCAAACATCAACATTTCTGGAGAGGCCATTCACTAGCATAATAACGAATTGTGGGTATTACTGATAAATTTATATAAAAACATCTTTTAGCTCTGTTTTATAAAGAACAAGTTGAGAGATTGCTTCTTTAATGGATTTACAATCTAAAACAGTCCAATCTAAACAATCTAAAACTATCTAATCACACTTGGTCAAATAAAGCTATTCTATTCTATTCTATTCTATTCTATTCTATTCTATTCTATTCTATTCTATTCTA